GAATTGTAAACCCCTTGTGCAAAGAAGGACTCATAGGGCTGGGGATGCCGGTCAGAGGTAGAGTGCTTGCCTGGCATGCATAGGACCCTGGCTTAGGTTCCCACCACCACCAAAAAGAAGGGAAGAGGAGGAGGGAAGAATAAGTTGACATGTGACTAATTAAATTATGCAAAATCCACATCCTCCATGGCATTTGCACGTCTCATATGCGCACAGCTGGTTGAGAGTCCACACTGGACAGTAGAGATGGGAGCACGTCTGTTGTCACAGGAATGCCCCTGTTGCAGTTTTTAAATTTACTGCTTTGTTTGAAAGAGGAGGGAAAACCCCGGCCAATCTACAAGCTGCACGCATCCGTAATGACTACCACTTTAAAAATATTTATTTTATAATTTTTATTTTGCTCAAGATTGCTTTCTTTTGGGTCATGGTGATGGTGTGGCTCCTTATGAGTTTTGGGAAATTAAAAAAAAAAGATTTATATGCATTCATGTTTGTCTGTGTAAGTGGGGTTTGTCTACGTAAGTGTATGCCACATATATTTGGGTGCTGATGGAGGCCAGAGATCATTTACCTCATATGTGTCAATGCTTTGCCTGGCTTGATCTTGTACAGCTCTTGGGCAAGTAACCATAGCTGCCGTGAGTTCCTGAGTGTGTTAGCCATGTTGTATCCGGAAGACAGCACTTCCCATCACGCCCCCCACCCTCTGGTGTTTACATTCTTTCTGCCTCCTCTTCCACCATGTTCCCTGAGCCTGGGGTCGAGGGGATGGTAGAGATGTTCCATTTAGGGCTGAGCATTCACAGTCATGTCCTGAATAGTCACTTCTCTGTGTCATAATCCAGACTCAGATGAAGTGCCACCTGCCCTTGGAAACTTTGCTGTATCACTCTCTGTAGGTGGCCGCTCCGTGTCCCTGCTGCATCCTGGGCTCCTCCTTTTTTCCCATCACCTCTGTTAGACTATGAGGTTGTTGAGGGGAGGATTTCTGTCTTGTACTCCTCCGGATCTAGTTCACTCCACACAACCTTTTCCTGGCCTCATCTCTCTTTTGAGAATTGGATGAAAATGCTGAATTCTAGCATTCTTGGCAAATTAAAGCAGTCACATATACTCAAAATGCATATAGACTTTAGGACCTATGGCTAAAAAATCAAGTAACAATACCAATCCCTGAGCAAGCAGAGTCAGTTAATGTGTGGTAGATGCTGTCCTGAGCATTTCTGAGGGTCTACCCCATTTATTCCCCACAACCACCCTGTGAAACAGATGCTGTAATTATATTGATTTCCAGATGAGGAAACTGGACAACATTTAAGGAACTTGCTCAAGGCCATTCCTGAATGGTCTCTTTTAACCACGAAACTATCTGTGAACCTCACATGGGGCAGTCTATAGGACACTCCACCTAAAGGACATCACATAAAGGTGTATGGAGTGACCTGAGGAATGAATGTAAGAAATGGTAGTGGGCACCAGGATGAATGAATGAGGTTTCAGTCATTCATAAAAGGACAAGGCAGCAACCCAGGGGCTTGTAAATGCTAGGTGCTTTCTTGGTGGAGAAGCTGATGAGATAGCCTACATCCTTCAGGAAGCTTTAAGGATAAGGGTGAGAAGGGGAAGAACTTTCATTGAATCTTTTGTACATACCTGATACTGAGTTTGGTGGGTCCTAAAGAGACCATACATACAACAGTGTCACTAAACCTTGGAATCTAATTCTTTTTTTTAAAGAGGGGCCGGGGCTGGAGAGATGGCTCTGAGGTTAAGAGCACTGACTGCTCTTGCAGAGGACCCAGGTTCGATTCCCAGCACCCACATGGTGGCTACGAACTGTCCTTGACTCCAGTTCCAGGGGAATCTGAAGCCCTCTTCTGACTTCTGTGGCATTGCACAACACGGGTGCACTCACATACATGCAGGCAATACACTCATACACATAAAATAATAAAAATAATAAATAAAAAATTTGAAAAAAAAGAGGGGCTGGAGAGATGGCTCCGCAGTAAAGAGCACTGAGTACTCTTGTAGAGGGCCTGGGTTTGGCTCCCACCACCCACACAGCAGCTCATAACCATCCATGACTTCAGTTCCAGGGAATAAGTGTTCTCCTCTGGCCTCTGCGGGCATTGCACTCATGTGGTGAACTTACATACATGCAGTCAAAATATACACAGAAAAGAAAAGAAAAAGCATTTTTAAAGACATATTTTATTTTTCTAAATATTTTATTTTTATTTTTATTTTATGTGTATGAGTGGATTGCCTGCATGTATGTGAGTGCACCTGAGTTGTGCAATGCCGCAGAGGTCAGAAGAGGGCTTCGGATTCCCCTGGACTGTTTGTAGTCGCCATGTGGGTGCTGGGAATCGAACCTGGGTCCTCTGCAAGAGCAGTCAGTGCTCTTAACTGCTGAGCCATCTCTCCAGCCCTTCTACTTTATTTTTTATTATGTGTATACGTGTGTGTGTGTGTGCACATACATGTGCACATGAGCATAAGAACCACCTAGGCCAGAACAGAGTGTTAGATCCCCTGGGGCTGGAGTTATAGGTCATTGTGAGCCACCTGACCTGGGTGTTGGGACCTGAACTCTGGCCCTCTGCAAGAGCAATATGTGCCCTTAACCTCTGAGCATCTCTCCAGCCTGGAATATAATTGAATTTTGAGCTTCAAATGCCTCTGGAAAAGACTAAAGAGGAAAAGGAAAACTGCCCTGTTCTTCATGGGAGGCAACATTGAGACACAGTGTGAAGGTGTCACTGCTCTGTCCCGGTGATACAAACAATGCCGACTTTACTGCTGGGATGGAGAAGGTTAGGGAGGTGTGGGTGGGGCAAGGCTTCTCTTTTCTTTTCATGAAGATAAGCCTTTCTAGTCTTTGGTGATAAGAGATTTTTATAATTACACTTAGCTATGAATAGGGCCTCCACTCTGTCCTGCTTTCTGGATGGGGGAAAGGGGAGACAGAAAAGAGAGAGAATAAAAGATGGGTGTGATTAGTCAGTGGCAGTCTTCACAGTGAATGATTCCAAATAGGGTCTCTCAGATTGTGTAGCTTAAACTCTAACTCTGGTCAATGGTTCAATGGTCAAGTATCAAGTACTGGGGAAGGTGTTTGTCAGGAAGATGTCCCCTGCCTTAGGTGACTGCAAACTTCAAGGAAAGTTTTATTTTTTTTTGAGATAGCATCTCTCACTGAACCTGGAACACCCCATTCTCAGGCTGGCTGGCCAGCAAGCCACAGGGTTCCTTCAGTCCTTTCCTCTCCAGCACTAGGATTACAGGCTAGAAAGCCCAGCTTTTTGTGTGGGTGCTGGGGACCTGAAGTCAGGTCGCCACACTTCGGCAGCAAGCACTTTACCGAGAGCCATTCCCCCAGCTCATGTTTTCTGTTTTGTTGTTTGTTTTCCCTTTAAAAAAATTATTTTTATTATATGTATGAGTGTATTGCCTGCATGTATGTAAGTGCACCCATGTCATACAATGCCCACAGAGGTCAGAAGAGGGTGTCAGGTCCCCTGGAATTGGGGTTACAGGTGGTTGTTAGCCACCATGTGGGTGCTAGGAATTGAACCCAGGTCCTCTGCAAGAGCAGCCAGTGCTTTTAACTGCTAAGCCATTTCTCCAGCCAATTTTCACTTTTTTGAGACAAGGTCTTGCTATGTAATGCAGATTCCCTTTGAACTCATAATCCCCCTGCCTCAGCCTCCCCAGGCTGGAATATAGGCATGCGCTATCATGCTCAGCCTATTTTCTTAACCTGGAAAATATTGTCATGTATAGTATTAGCAAGTAACTTTAAAATATTTTCTTGGGAGATGGAAATATGGCTCAGCGGTCAGGAGTACTGACTGCTCTTGCAGAGGACCTGGGTTCAATTCCCAGCACCCACATGGCAGCTAACAACTGTCCTAACTCCAGTTCCAGGGGATCTGACACCCTCTTCTGACCTCTGTAGACACTGCATGACAAGGGTGCACTTACACACAAATAGGCAATACACATAAAAATAATAAATAAAAAAAATTTGCTTGTGTAGGATCCTGAGACCCTCTTCATTTACCCGTTACCCCCCAATCCCTCCAGACCCCCACTAATTGCTCTTTTAGCTTCTGTAAAATGCTTGGCTGCTGCTTTAGACATGCCTAGACATGCCCTGGCATGCCCTGACCCCCACCTGCTATTCCCCCCTTCTAGGAAACTATAGATTAAGCAAGCCTGGGCATGAAAACTGCCCTATAAGGTAAAAACGGAGACTCCTGGCCCCACAGACAACAGTCAGCACATTCCACAGCCCTGAGAATAGCACCTACCAATAAGAAACTTCCAGGGCTGCATCCTATACATCCAATCAGTTTAAAATTATGTTGGCACGCGCGGGCTCCTTGAACCAACCAAAATGTATCTTCGGTATCCCCCTCCTCTCTTTGTCTAAAACCTATAAAAGGCTCCACTCTCCCTTACTCTGGGCTCTCAGCATGGATCCGTTGAGTTGGTGAGGTCTGAGAGGCCGAGCTTAAGCCTGAATAAACCATAAACCTTTGCTTTTGCATTTTGGTGTGTTGGGTCCTCGGTGGTCTTTTTGGGGTCCAGTGGGTGAGGTACAACACTTGGAAATTTTTAAAAATTCCAATATTAGCTTGAATATTCCTCATCACTAAGCTACCTTTAGGTTCAACTTTTATAAAATCCTAATTTTGGAATATAGTCCTTTTCTCTCATATCAGAAGGTGACTCTATCAAACCAGCTTCAACTGGGTTACAGTCTTGGAGACTGTAATTATGCAGCCTGTACCTCTAGTTGGGTTGTAATACATTAAAATTCCTTTCATTGTCTTTTTAACCCTGTTTAGTCCGATGCATTTCCGCATTCTAAATTCTAGTCTCTTCCTGTTTTAAGAAACTGTAGACAGTTAATAGAGCACATTTGTATCACATTTGTTTGTCAATTTGATTTGGTAAATGATCTCTTTGTCCCTTCCTTACTGTAGCCCAGGGCTGGGCCTGTCTTACCAGAAGACATGCAAATCCTCCTAGAGGCTGGCCTCCACAGTCCCCCAGCAAAGGAATTTTGATCTTGCAGAAAAGATTTGCATTTGGATGAAGGATTTCTATCACACTCTGAGGCTGCACCTGGATGCAAATTCAGGAAGAGTGGACTAAGAGGTGAGCTCCAGGACAGGGAAGGGGCATCAGTGTGGTGACAGAAGGAAGGAAGGGTCACAGTATATGAAGAATTCAAGGCCTGGCATGGTGGTGCACACCTTTAATCTCACCACTAGGCAGGCAGAGGCAAGCAGATCTCTGTGAGTTTGAGGCCAGCTTGGTCTACATAGCAAGTTCCAGGCCAGCCAAGGCTACATAGTGAGCCTGTCTCAAGCAAACAAACAAATAATAAATAAGACGTTCAAACTGAGAAGAAAGGCGATTACTCTTGATCTACTGAAAGGATGGAATAGAGAAACTGTTTACATAATAATAAAAACTTATGGAGTATAACTATGTTTCCATTGATTATCCATTGAAATCTCTTCTATTTCCATAGATAACCTCACTTTATTAAAAAAAATTCAACGTGGAACAGGACTGCAGGAAGCCTTGATTTCTACCCATCATGAAGATGTGCCTAGGTGCATGCACAGCCATTGGATGTTGGCGGTCAACTGCATACTGTCAGTCTAATCTAGCCGTCATCTGGCCTTTCCTCTTCAGATCTGCCTGGGCAGCTCCCCTGGAGTCTGCAGGGTGGAGTCACCATTTTGGCTTGAGTAAACTGCATGGAGATGTGTTTCTTCATACCCAGGGACTTACTGGAGTAGTCCTCTAGGGGCACGGAGGAGTTGCCCAGTAACCTTCACCCTTGCTTCTCTAGTGCTCACCATTTGAGAAGACTGTCCTGGGAGTAGTTTGGTTGGAGGTGGGAGGCTGGTTCTTTCATTGCCCCTCACCCAGTGACATGCCAGCTCTTAGCATGCAAACCAAACCATTTCACCGGGAAGAGAAGATGCCAAGGGGAAAGAATCAACACCAAAGGGGTCTTTGTTCGTTGCTCCAACTTCTTAGAGAAAAAAGGAAATAGAATTTTCTCCAGAATTCTGCTTTGTGTTTTAAGATGTGAACTGGAGAATCATTTGGGAACCATCGCTAGCCCAAATCAAAGGGGAATGAAGCTAGACACATCTTATAATGTATGTCCAATTACCTGGATATTATTTTACAGGTCTAAATAGAGAGAACATGATTTTAAAATTAGAGATGATAGCTCAATATGTTAATCTTGTATAAAAATTAGATCAGGGTGCTCATCAGACTATATTTTGCTTAATGTGGTTTTACTAAATAGGGATTTTCAAGAGTGGTTCACAACTGCTAATGCAGTCATTATGCTAGTTAGTGCTATACACTGTAAGACAAGAAAAACTGAGTTGATTAGACGTTCTATTTAATTCCATTGGTCATTAAAAAATGGAGTATCCTGGGGTCTGGCTGAGCAGCAGAAGCATAACAGCTGAAGATGGGGTGAAACGCAAACGTGCTTCCCAGAGCTCTCTTCTTGGGTCTTATTTTGCAAGTTTGCAAGACGATTTCAACCAATCTACTCCCTTGAAATGCCTTCTACAAAAATCACTGTTTCTTTGGGCCTTAAAATTCTGGAAAAGCTTTGAGTTCCCTTAAGGAGTCTGAAGTTTATACCCAGTTTTATCAAGGGCAGAATTACGTGCTGCAGTCCACCTATTACTAGAGTTTACCTGCTAGTCCCTATATTGACAACAGAACATACTGCTTCCTGGGAAGCTTATATATATATATAAAATACATTTTTTTATTTGTTAATTTTTTTGTGTGTATACATACAGAACATCCCAAATAATCTTATTCATCTATACACCCACTTCCCAAATGGCACCCTCCCACAGCTCCCCCCCACCCCACTGGAGCCCATATACTCTGTCATCCCCGTAACTGTCCACTGTGTTGTCGGCACCCCCAGCTGTTCTCCAGTGCTTGTCTGTCTGCTGAGTCTAGTCGGCCTATCTAGAGTTCCTTGTTTTAGGAAGATCAGCTCTTCCTCATAGAGCAGCAATCAGTGGTCAATATTCCTTTACGTAAGATTGAGATCTGCTGTTCATTTTCCCAGTTCTGTGCTGGGTTACTGTCTGGCATCTCCTGGGCCACCCTGGCCAACAACTCAAAGGAAGGTAGCTCCTGACCAGCATTGTTTCTCGTTATATAGACTTTAGCTATACACATGGACTCTTTAATCTTTGGTTATACTTTCCTTTTGGGTGTTTAAGACCACACAGTTGGCCCAGATAAACCAATTTATTGGTAGGTTCATTTGTAGTTTTTTAAGAGTTCTCCACACTACTTTCCATAGGGGTTGTACAAGTTTGCAGCCCCACCAGCGGTGAATGAGCATTCCCCTTAACCCAGATCCTCTCCAATTTTTGGTATCATTTGTTCTCTTGATCTTAGCCAGTCTGATTTGGGTAATATGAAATCTTAAAGTGGTTCTAATTTGCATTTCCTAATTGCTAGTGATGTTGAACACCTTTTAAGATGCTTCTTAGCCACCTTATTTCTTCTTTTGAGAACTCTCTGTTCAGCTCCTTGGCCTATCTTTTAATTGGATTACTTCCTTTCTTGATTCTTTGTTTTTTGAGTTCTTTATATATTCTGGATGTTAAACCTCTGT